TTTCCTTTATTCCTTTTTGTTAGAGTGTATAATAATGAGCCAGTTCGTTCTATGAGACATGACTCACGCGTGCACAACACAGATGAATGGATAAACAGATTTGACAATGTATATGCCAACTCGCGGTGACGCTCATGAAAGTAAAGGCCAGCCACGTTTGTGTTCACTTTTGTATTATGTATAGAAGATCTCAAGACGGTAATGAATCGGGAACAGTGCCATGACAATGTCAGTCACGGTTCAATAGATGACCACAAAGGAAAGAGCGTTTTGGTGCATTAGACACTGGATCGCAGCTGGGAGTGGAAGCAAATGCTTTCTGTCTCTCCGTTTGGATATTGTGTATTTCCAGACAGTGTGCCAAAACACAATTAATTATAAAGCAGCGTGTTAGTCGTTGGAAACTGCTTGAGCGAACATAGAATAGCTTCTTGGTCAGTCAGTCAGTCAGTAACCAAGGAAGACGCGGTTTTATAGTATCCCTTTGAGGCAAACACGGCAGTGTCTGTTGACATATACTATGTAAACACTCATTCCAGTTAGATTGATTAAATTATGCTTGATTCTTACGATTGTTGACATGCCTTAGTCTAGGGGTTCTTTAGGAATTTCATTGAGGTTTGAGGAATGCAGTAGCAGTAGGCTAACATATACCAGAATCACCATCATCAAATGGAGTGACGCCCTTCCGTTATGGAATATGAGCATGTGTCAATACCGTTCTCTGTTCTACCTTACCAATCTGCCTTTCCATTTGTGAAGCAGAACCAGCAAATTAACTGTGAGTTATATACTGGCCACATAAAGAAACTGTGCACACAGAAAATATAAATATAGGCACACAGCGTCTTTATACATAAATACATTTGTGAACATAGCAAGTATTGGAGACAATCAAATGCTCATGCACGTGCCAGGTGACGTGACGTCATTGACGGTGGTCTATGGCCTTGCAATGTGTTACTGCACCTGCAGCCCGTACAGCTGCACACAACATGTGAAACTCTGAAATTGATGTCACTGTCGAAAGCTTGATCTTTGGTCATTCAAACGTTCACCAATTCACATGAGAAGTCACATGGACATCATGCCAAGATTAACATCTGCTCAACGTCATGAAGCCATTGGAATGGTTCGAGCAGGCATGAGCCAACAACAGGTGGCAGCACATTTCCAACGCCATCGTAACACGATATCTGCATTGGTCAGGCGTTAGGGAAACAGTAATGATGTCGCCGACCACCCACGTTCTGGGCGTCCCCGAGTAACGACGCCAAGACAGGACAGATGGATTCGGGTGACTCCTATCAGACACAGGTTCCAGACAGCATGACCAACTCCCAGACCATTCCCCAGGCCTTCATTGCTCATTTGGTAGCCTCTATGCGTCTTCGATGAACTGCTGTGCTTCACGCACACGGTGGTCATACCCGTTATTGACTTTGTGACCCCTACTCGATTTGAACTTCTGACGTCATCGTTACGGATATTGTTCATGTTCTTTTGACATTTTCTTGTGGTCCGATACTTCAGCTTATAAAGTGTCTATATCATTTCGTCTTTGTTGTGCTGTATTCCAATTTTGAAGGCATTTTCTGTGTGCACAGTTTCTTTATGTAGCCAGTATACACATGATGCGAAAAGGTAGTCCAACCAATAAGTTAGTTTTATCCATTCAAGAGCGACCCATTTGAATCAAGTTACTTTAAGGTATGACACATGTGTACACATGGCTGCCTCTCCATTCAACCATCCAGACAGTGTTCGCACATGACAGTTAGCTAAAGATTGAGGCCCATTATGCCAGATTGGCCCAGTAGCCACAGACACAGGTCTTAATCATAGCATGATATTGAATAGTAGAATATTTCACGTTCAAACCGTTGCTATAACATTGTTTGACAACCATGTTGCCCATGCACCGGGACAAAGCCCGAAGAAAGGGACATGTTGGGCTAAAGGAAGACCTGTTCCTGACACTGGGTCCACTCTGCCTACCACCCGCCTGGGTGACGTAAGGGACGTGATTGGCTAAAGGAAGACCTGTTTCTGGTATTAGGCCCATTCTGTCTACCACCCGCCTGGGTGAAGTAAAGGACGTGATTGGCTAAAGGGAGACCTGTTTCTGGTATTGGGCCCATTCTGTCTACCACCAGCCTGGGTGAAGTTTCAGGGAATTGTTGGGCTAAAGGAAGACCTGTTTCTGGTATTGGGCCAATTCTGTCTACCACCAGCCTGGGTGAAGTTTAAGGGAATTGTTGGGCTAAAGGAAGACCTGTTTCTGGTATTGGGCCCATTCTGTCTACCACTCAGCCTGGGTGAAGTTTAAGGGAATTGTTGGGCTAAAGGAAAACCTGTTTCTGACACTGGGCCCATTCTGTCTACCACTCGTCTGGGTGAAGTAAGGGACATGTTGGGCTAAAGGAAGACCTGTTCCTGACACTGGGCCCATTCTGTATACCACTCGTCTGGGTGAAGTAAGGGACGTGTTGGGCTAAAGGAAGACCTGTTTCTGGTACTGGGCCCATTTTGTATGCCACTCGCCTGGGTGAAGTTTTATGGGAATTGTTGGGCTAAAGGAAAACCTGTTTCTGGTATTGGGCCCATTCTGTCTGCCACTCGCCTGGGTGAAGTTTTATGGGAATTGTTGGGCTAAAGGAAGAGCTGTTTCTGGTATTGGGCCCATTCTGTCTACCACCAGCCTGGGTGAAGTTTAAGGGACGTGTTGGGCTTAAGGAAGACCTGTTTCTGGTATTGGGCCCATTCTGTCTACCACCCGCCTGGGTGAAGTAAGGGACGTGTTTGGCTAAAGGAAGACCTGTTCCTGAGTGCAGATTCTAGTATTTCTGAGCGTGGGTGCGAATCCTCTAAATGTACTAGAATTTGTACTTTACTGAGAAAATGTAATTCCAAATATTACACATGTTACGATTGAGCACCTTCTGAATCACATTGTTTTCTTTCGACCGTGCCAATTTACACTTGTCAGAGTGGTACACTAAATAAGTGATCTTGATAACTATTTGTCAAGTTCTTGGAAGGCATTTAGAAGTTGGACGAACACGTTAACATGACACGTTTGGAGAACAACTGGTTTCATTCTTTATACGACGCTTCAGAGCTATTCCATACAATATTTAGCTCTGAAACATCGAGATAAGGAACATACATTCAAAGAACAACATCGCGAATTCTTTGAGTGGCACTTATAAGTTGGTGTTATGAACAACGAGGACAGGCGTGTGGATATTATAAGCCGTTCCTGCAGTATTGAAACTCACTTGCTTGATAACGATGTTAGCGGTGTTGATGAAAAAAGAAGATGTATATCCATAGAACTATTGACGTTGTTCAATAAAAAAAAAGATGCTGCTATCCATAAAACTTGTCATGTAACCAGTTGTCAGACGTCCATTCCGTGACTCAGTGGGTTAGATCGCTGATGTGTGTGCTGGCTATTACGTGCATGAAGCCAATAAAAGTATTACAATTTGCACTTTACTCACAAAGTTTAATCCCCAATATAACATCGGTATAAGTATCGAATATAGAATGTTACTTTCAAAGTGTATATATTATATTTTCATAAATCCCTTGAAGGAGAAAGCATACAAAGCATTTATTGAATAAAGGAATCCAGCTTCATAAAGTTTCTATCTTTAATCAAGTTTTCTTCTGGGGATGCCGTTACGAATTGAAATACTGACATAGTCTGTAATGTCTTGCGACTGTTTGTCGTCAATCGCAAAAAGTGCGCTAATGCTGACATCACTAATATGATATATAGATAGTAATTTGAATTTTATGCTTTATAATTGCGTTTTATTAATTATCGGAGGAGGTACGTATTCATCTTCCACACGTTTAGGGTGAACAGTTATGTGTTAAGATGAAGGCAACAAATAACAATGAAATGTTATACCATTAACAACTTTATGGTACCTCCATACAATTTACTACACAGTCACGACAATGGCAGCAAAATGACCAGTAAAATGACCAGTATATAGTACAATAACAGTGGTAATAGAAATCCAAAGAATTCAGCTGTAATAATATTCACTGAGCAACAACAGTGGCACAGCTTGCAAAACAGGCCTGGGTTTGATTATCTGAAATATAGTGATATAATATGAGATGAGCGAGGCATGTGCTGGCACCCTTATATAGGCCATCTTGAACGTTCTATACCGCGGTGTATTAGCCTACGGCTGTAATAGAAGAGTGAGTGAGTTTAGTTTTACGTCGCACTCACCAATATTCGAGCTATATGGCGGCGGTCTGTAAATAATCAAGTCACGACCAGACAATCTAATGATCAACAGCGTGAGCATCTATCTGCGCAGTTGGGAACCGATGACATGTGTCAACCAAGTCAGCGAGCCTGACCACCCGATCCCGCCTCATACGACAAGCATGGGTTACTGAAGGTTCATACTAACCCGGACCTTCACGGGTTGTAATAGAAGATACCAAAAGCATACACATATATGTACTTATATACCACTGCATACATTAGACAGTAATAGATTTCTAACAACTAATTATTGTTAAAACACAGTATGCCTAATGTCTATTGACTTTCAACGAAAACTATGCAATACAATAACAACATTGTTTAACAATAAAAAAACAATGACACATATAATAGAAACCGTTCAGACAACTGGAGTGTTGTTTGATTGGCATTTTAGAATATGTCAAAACGTTCTTCGATATAAAAGGTCCGTGTGAACTACCAGTAGCACAGTTCCGGTACCTTCGGTTGCGATGTTGCCCAGTGGATTATTCGTTGGTGCAACGTAAATATTGGTTAATCATTTGTAGTCGTTGAGGCAATTCCTGAAATTGGTGACAGGAGACGTACAGCTATAAAACAAAACGTGAGAACATATTTGAGAATGTAGTGATATTAGTTTTCATATCCAGTGCGGTGGGGTGGCCTAGTGATTAAAGTGTTCGTTCATGACACCGCATGGGGACAATGTGTGAAGCCCATTTCTGGCGTCCCCAGTCGTGATAATGCTAAAAGCGGCGTAAAACTCACACACTCACATATCCACCTAGATAAATAGCTGTCTCTTTCACACCCCTTGAATCGCCTTCCCAGAAAATGCCATCCAGATCAGTGGCCATTTTCAGTTTACCGTTAGGGTTACACAGAGCACAGTCTCTGAACCACCAACCAGATTTATGTGTCTGAGAGCAGCTTTCAGCTGCGTTTTCATCATTGTCCCTATCGTAGGTGCTGAACCTGGCTCCTCTCAGAGCAGTCATGACGTCGTTGAATCTATTCTCAGCTCTCTCAGGGGTTGAGGTGCTTGTGAAATTAATCCTGAAACCACTCACAGCATCCGATAGACTAAAATTGTTGCAAATGATCTGTTTCCATGTTGGTTGATTTATATATGCAAACCGAATAACGAATTTGCTCGGAGTTTTATCACTAATGGCTTTTATTTTCTCCAAACCCAACCAGTGATCTCCCCCGGGCGTTCCGAACCCGTCTGTGTAATCCTGCCAGTTCCTGGTAAAGTTGATGCCGGACGACTGCTTCTGGACGGATGTACGTCCACCGTATACCATGTAACAGTAGACTTCAAAAGGCGTCCCGTACGGTCTTGGTTGAATCGTGTAAACTCCATCGGTGAGTATATTCATCCTGTATCCCTCTGAGCAATCTGCAATTCCAGACATTTGGGTTATCAAACAGTATGTACAAAATGTAACAAAGGTATAACCAAACATTTAATCATGTGCATAAACTAAAATCTATTTATTTCCCATATTTTAATACATGATGTTCTTTCTGTCCCAACTATATTTATTATGTACATAGTGTAACTCCCATATGAAACATATGAGCGATGACTACATAAATTCCAGAATTCCATTAGGAAAGCGTTCAAATGTAACATATGTTTTTGGAGAAAGCGAAATCTCAAATAAAATGGCATTGTGTATTCATAGTTTTCGGTCATGGGAGCCGTGCTAATTTACGCTTGTCAGAGATGTACACAAAGTACGTGATCTAGACTACCAGTTGTCTGACTCGGATGAGGGGTGGTGGCTGAGTGGGTTAAACGGCTGATTTCTAAGTGCTGGCAGTTGAGAGTCTAAGTCTGATGAGAGGGTTCGAAAATTGGATGAAATTCAACAAAAGTTCCAGGATCGGTACTTTACTGAGAAAGTGTGATGACCAAGTATCCTCAAGGAAACTCTCATGTGAAATGGGTTGATTTGCATTGTTCAACCCTTGGTACGATATATTCAGGTTTGCCATGACCACACACGTGGTAAACGTACTGGAAACTGGAAAGTGTATTATATTAGACGTTCTTCCAATATGAAGCTTTCGTGCATAACTGGAATACTATAAACAGCGGCGTTAAACCATGACCAATCACTCAATAGAACAATATGTTTCATCATGCGTTCATACTTTAATTGTATCAAAACCATGCTTGCCAACAAGAACATATTAACACGCAAAGACGCCTTATTTCAGACTCTTTCTGAGTGAGTGAGTTGGTTGGTTCAGAGACTGTACTCTGTGTAACCCTAACGGTAAACTAAAAATGGCCACTGATCTGGATGGCATTTTCTGGGAAGGCGATTCAAGGGGTGTGAAAGAGACAACTATTTATCTAGGTGGATATGTGAGTGTGTGAGTTTTACGCCGCTTTTAGCAATATCAGGTCTTGGGACGCCAGAAATGGGCTTCACACATTGTCCCACACATTGTCCCCATGCGGGGGACTCGAACCCGGGTTTTCGGTGTGACGAGCGAACCACTAGGCTACCCTACCGCCATTTACACATGTACATTCATATACGTGAATGCACCAAAGTGTAACATTACTGTGATGAATTTGACAAGAACAAACTGTGGATTATTTGGGTACATACCATCCCAGTAGCGTTCGCAATATGTTCCAGTGAAGCTGACTGGACATTCACAGGATGTTTTAGTGGAATCTGACCACTTTCCTCCATTCTGACACTCAGGAACTGGAGGATACATCTGCAATACACAATCATAGCCATTATACATGAATACCTGGACAACTTAAACCAAACAGGAACGCTATAGGAGCGCATGCGGTCCACTGTCTAGTGTGATGCAAAGGTCCATCACGAGTGAGGGTTGGAATTAAAATGTAGGCCCTTTTATGATCTGATAACAATACTGTCGTATCATAGGTTTGACAGTAACGGATGGTTTTACTCTCGCAACCCGTTGACTAAAGTACTGTAACTGTTTGCATTATACTGAACTAATCACTCACACTCGATAGGTAAGGTAATACTGGGGTGGAAACAATTGTAACTGGGAACACTTGCCAACAGCTGTTCAGCCTCACCACAGATATTGACTAACGCTTAATCTCTGAATATATATGTATACACACACACACTCACGCACGCACACACACACGTACGTGTGTGTATTGTAACAAATAGACCAATTTAATTTGAAAAGGAGCCCTGGGGAGAACAGAGATTCTGGGGAAATCTAGACTTGCTTCATTTAGGGATTAAGCATTGCAGGGACGGCATGGCCGTTGGGAAAATAACATGGTTCAGGGACTGAGGCAGACTTTATAGGCAAACATTAAATATCATCCTAGGTTATATCACACATCGTTATTACCATGCCAGTGAGGGACGTGTATGTATGAAATAACTTCTGAATAATGTGCTACATATAGATGAACTGTCGCTGCCTATTGACGGTACAGACATGTAACCTCTCGATTACTAAACGGTTATTCTCACTTTCAGGAGAGCTGATATATATTGTGATTGCTAAGAAACAGTGACCACAGAAGTTTTGCAAATGATTAAAGTGTGATAGAAATGACCTTTTCATTGATGCGTTCTGTATCAAGATCAGGGGTAAATCAATGGAGGATAACTGTTGAAGTGACCATTATATACTAGCCACATTAAGAAACTGTGCATTGTCAAAATATTATCCCAGTTGATAAGTACGATAACAATGTCAACGGTACATATAAGTTTATGTCCACCATCGGCATTGAGAACACAATGACGTCACGTACATCGACAGACGACATGTCAGAAGCTAACGGGTATCAACCATCGGCATTGAGAACAAGGAAGGCTTGTGCCTATCAAACGTGCAAGGATGTCCCGCCCAGATTCTCTCAAGTTCTGTTGCGAGGTCAAGGACGTTATCTGGCGGATGAGGAAGACGGCGTAGACGTCGATCCATCTCGTCCCAAACATGCTCTATCGGGGAGAGATCTGGTGAATTTGCAGGCCAAGGCAGTAGGTCAACGTTGTGGTGTTGCAAGAAATCCATAGCAACCCTTGCCGTATGAGGGCTGCCATTGTCTTGTTGGAATGTTAGCCCAGGGTCACGACGTTGCAGAATAGGAATTGCCACAGGTCGAAGAATCTGATCCCTGTAGCCCACACCAGTTAAGTTGCCCTGAACAATCACCAAAGGAGTTCTTTGGCGTGCTGTTATTCCACCCCAAATCATCACGGAACCATCACCAAAGCGATTCCTCTCCAAGACACAGGCCTGTGCATAACGTTCTCCCACGCGTCTATAGGCAAGTTGACGTCCATCACTATGGGAAATGTTAAACCTGGACTTATCTGTAAAAACAACATTTCTCCACCAAAACAAGGGTCTGCGGACATGATTTCGGCACCACATTCGGCGAGCTTGTCGATGACGTTGTGTCAGGATAGGCCGTATGGCGGGACGTCGTTGTCTGATCCCGTAATGACGTAAACGTTGTCGAACTGTGTTGGGGTGGATACGGCGAAGTCCTGGGATGGTGCGGGCAGTCATCACTGCAATCTGAAACCTGTGGCGAAGATGGGTCACCCTTATCCATATGTCCTGTCTTGGCGTTGTTACACGTGGACGTCCAGAACGTGGCCGATCGATGACGTCATTTGTGGTCAGGTAGCGTCTCACCAGTGCAGAAATGGTGTTCCGGTGGCAGTGGAAATGTGCAGCCACCTGTCGTTGAGACATTCCCCCACGGACCATCCCAATGGCCTCATGACGTTGTGCAGACGTGAGCTTGGCATGCTATGCGTTTCAATAGCCGTTTAATTTTTTGAACGATCGCAAGGGCAGGGGTTGAGCTTTCCAAAGTGACAGTATTGTGTGGCATTCATTTGCTGTTTCTCTTTCCCGGAATGCACGTGCAACAACGTATTGCACGTCTCAGGGACGAACCCACTGACGTCACGGAACGTGGCACGTGCATGAGTTGGATACATGTCACTAATCTTTGAGTTTAAATCCTTATGTGTCTACACAGGTTTGATAAAGTTTTATTTTAAATTTTGTATGCACAGTTTCTTTATGTGCCTAGTGAAATCATATCATCGACATAAGTGGTTGGCCCTGATTTAATCTGAGCGTAAAGTCTAATTCACATACATAAGTTAACTTATCAGCGAGCACAGTTGGTGGCCCACGTGATGCCTGCATCAAGATCAAATGGTATACTTACAGCTTAACATAGATGTCACCAATTCGGGTACTCAGCATTTCCTATATCGTTTACAAATTTGTGACAAGCTGTCCTACACCAAACCTGTGGGATACTAGTCGTGGGTAGTTGCCAGAGAGGCAGAAGTTGACTGCAGGAGAAACACCAACCTGTGGGATACTAGTCGTCGCCAGTTGCCACATTGGCAAAAGAAGGCTGGGGACGTAACACGATCCTGTGGGATACTAGTCTGAGATAGCTACCACATTGGCAGAAGTGGACTGTGGACGTAACACGATCCTGTGGAATACTAGTCTGAGATAGCTACCACATTGGCAGAAGTGGGCTGGGGACGTAACACGATCCTGTGGGATACTAGTCTGAGATAGCTACCACATTGGCAGAAGTGGGCTGGGGACATAACACGATCCTGTGGAATACTAGTCGTCGACAGTTGCCACATTGGCAGAAGTGGGCTTGGGACATAACACGATCCTGTGGAATACTAGTCGTCGACAGTTGCCACATTGGCAGAAGTGGGCTGGGGACGTAACACGATCCTGTGGAATACTAGTCGTCGACAGTTGCCACATTTGCAGAAGTGGGCTGGGGACGTAACACGATCCTGTGGAATACTAGTCGTCGACAGTTGCCACATTGGCAGAAGTGGGCTGGGGACGTAACACGATCCTGTGGAATACTAGTCGTCGACAGTTGCCACATTGGCAGAAGTGGGCTGGGGACGTAACACGATCCTGTGGAATACTAGTCGTCGACAGTTGCCACATTGGCAGAAGTGGACTGGGGACGTAACACGATCCTGTGGGATACTAGTCTGAGATAGCTACCACATTGGCAGAAGTGGGCTGGGGACATAACACGATCCTGTGGAATACTAGTCTGAGATAGCTACCACATTGGCAGAAGCGGGCTGGGGATGTAACACGATCCTGTGGGATACTAGTCTGAGATAGCTACCACATTGGTAGAAGTGGGCTGGGGATGTAACACAAACCTGTGGGATACTAGTCGTAGGCAGTTGCCACATATTCTCCAAACATATGGCCTCGGAAAACGTTTTTTAGACAAGCAACATAGGTTCTGATTCACGAAATTTAACGACTGTTCAGTTCCAGGCTCGAATTTTTCCGATGACATGAAGCAAAGTCAATCTGGACCTGAAACCTTCTTTAGATGTCCCAGGGAAATTTTGCAAGTGTATTATTTTGACTTGTTACGTTTAATGCATTTAAGTATTAAGAGTATAAAATGGTACGGAAATGATAAATGACTTTCGGGATATTTTATTACCAAACACATTTACTAGTATTAATATAACAGTTTTAGAAATATCTTTCAAATCTTTTGAAACAGAGCAAGAACGCTCTGGGTCTGAGTAAATACTGTTATTCTTGCTTTGTATCATGACACACGAAGTCTGTTGAAAAATAATTGCATTGATGTCTTTATCAGTCCTGAGTCAATACTGTCAATAACAGGGATTGTATGGTATAGAGTAACATCAAACTGTATCTTAAGAGTATCATGCATCTATTGATTTAATCAGTTTATCTTAATGACAAGGAATAATATCATATCACATCAATTCTTAACGCACTTATTAAAAGCCCCGAACTGTATCCTTGACCAGGACATCATCAATAACAACGGCCATACTTGGTACAATCAAGCATTCTTGGCCATAGATTCAGTATTTCAGATTGTGAGACTAAACCACACAGTCCATCTTTAACACTGACCTTATGGGGTGGCGTGTTGTCCTGTGCATAGACTCTGGTCACAATCAGATGAAGTTAAGCAACGTTGGGCGCGGAGAATACCTGAATGAGTGACCGTGTGTGACAGCTTGACTCCTGAGAGTTTCTAGGACTTTAGTCCTGTCCCACAACGAAGCACATGTGCTCCATGTTTTCTCACCTTAGGCAAGTGAATTTGTTCAAACTTGTCTCTGTTCACCCAGAAGCAAAATGGGTACCCGGTGAAATAAGTGAGACTATTAACTAAACCTTCTGGCGCCTAACAGGCAGCTTGGGGTAATAATGATCAGATTGTGCTCCTTGAGCAGGATATCTAGCCTGGAAAAAGCGCGTTATAAAAATTCGCATTATCATTCTTATTTCTTTGTATAATTTATGTTTTGAAATGTTGTATTGGCTGCAGGATCTGTTGCACTCAAGCTGAAGAAATAATACAAGCCAAGTATTTTCCTCAATAGATGTCCGGTACCTCACGCCAAACAGATCTTTGGTCAAATACTATCTGTTTCAATTTGGGGAAAGATATCTGTTTACAGTTGTGATGTCTAGGTGCCTCGAGATACCCTTTGAAATATGCATTTCAGACATTACGTATCCTTTACCTACAATCAATAAATTCTTCGATACAGTCTGGGGACTTCCGTAATGACTCCTCCAGGGTATTAAAAACTCTGCAGAGTATAGGAATACGCAAGACTAAGAAATCCAATTATCTCATCTAGAGTGAACTCTACTTCAGGTTAAGGCATTTTCTCGTTGAGCTAACTATGTCTGTTATCACAATGAGGTGTTAAAAATTGATGCTTTGTGATTATGTATAGTCAGTAAGCTAAACTGGTTATTGTTTGTTATTGAACGCCGTACTCTATAGGGCGGTGGTCTGTAAATAATCGAGTCAAAACAATAAACAAAATTGCTGTTGAAGTCAGATAATTGTTCCATCTCCAATCAATATTTTGTTATTAAGACTATTTTCAACAAATTCATTGACATGTAATGTTTTTTATAAGGTCATTTAGCTCGAAGCTAGGTTTCGGGGACATAGAGCGTTCTGGTTTTCGGGTGACGAAAGCGGTTGAATACTGGGTAGTTACCCCGTTAGCAGAAGTGGACTGCACGGCCATAAATTTGTAAGTTTCGGGAGCACGGAGGAATGAATTTGATATGCCACAATAGAGAAAATAACATCTGTTGCAAGGAAATGTTACATATGACTAGTTATACTTTACCTCTGTCGTCTGCTCCACGTTACTCAAGACCTTCTGATACAGGACGTCCTTGAAGTCAGTCATACGTTCTAGTTCTTCCGATGTATAGTAGTAGCATTTCTTGTCTGCAAAAAGAACATTGGTGGCCCGACAGGTGCTTGAAGAGGCGCATCTCCCAACGCAGCTAAACGCAAACGATTTGTCCTGAAACACTGGAGGGTTAGTTTGAGAACGCCGCTTAACAAACTTCGTCTCGCTTATCGAAGCTGTTGCCGTGCATATCGATGATAAAGCCGCGAGTAGGATGCCCACGTCCATGCTGTTGGCGACTGACCCCCACACAAAATGTACACCTGTCACACAACCATTTAAACCATCACACTTCAAACCGAGGCTGTGTTTACATGATCGATATTACGTCACCTTCTGTATTACAACCAGCCCACAAACACTGTAATGTCCATTTTTATGTATCGTGTCTATTAAAAAGACTGGTAAATAGTAACTATAGAATTTCTAAACTATGTCAGGAAGAAAACTAACCAAGAAGTAACGAGAAATCTGCACCACCAACAGACGACATCCATCGATTTTAATCAAGTTTTGCAATCAGTATTCGATAGCCTGGAACTGTGTCATTGATATTCTCAAGTGGAGAATTAAGAGAAGACGTTTTGCAATAGCACACACAGTAAAGTTAATGTAGAATAGATACATTTCTGATAGACAGCACATGATACAGGTGGGATACAGAGATTATAAACCACACGAAATGTTAACTCTTTGAGCAACATCTACTATGAACATCAGTTGGGTTGTGTTAAGACAATGCCTCGGTATATGAACCAAAATATGTCATTGAAATGTGCTGGTATAAAAGGCTTAGGTTAAAAACCTGCCAATCACACCTATACTTGTCGAGGCTAATTCTGCCTTTTTCAAACGCCATTAAAGTGGCACTGGGTTAAGAGAGGTTGTAGAATTACATAATCTAAATAGTGATAACGTTTCTGTGACAACCTTTCATGATCTGACATCCCAACAGAGCTGTCCTGTTTTAAAATATCATTCTTCAATTTCTAATCAATCAGTTTCAATCATCAATTTCTAAAATGCCAATCAAACAGGACATTAGAGTTGTCTTAATGTGGATTCGTTAGGGTAATGTTGAACTGACTGAAGTCTAATATAGCCATGTGAGAAAGGTTTCCCTGTTTTAGGACATTATGTTGCATTGTTAAACGATGCTGTTAATGTACCGCAGCGTCTTCGTTGAAAGTCAGTAGACGTCACGTACACTGTGCGTTAATGATATTAGTTGTTAGAAATCGATTACTATCTAACGTACGCAGAGGTTTATGAGGACAAATATATTGGTATCTTCTATAACACCCGTAGGTTAATCGAACGTAGTATGAACATTCTAGATGGCAATGAGACTATATAATGGTGCCAGCACATGCCTCGCTCATCTCAGATTATATCACTATATTTTCAGCCTTGATATCCAGCCAAAGCCTGTTTTGCAAGCTGCGCCACTGTTCTTACTCAGTGAATATTATTACAGCTGAATTCTTTGGATTTCTATTACCACTGTTATTGTATTGTATACTGGTATTGCCATTTTACTGCTATTGACATGACTGTGTAGCAAATTGTATGGAGGTACCATAAAGTAAAGTGTATAACTCTATTTGTTATTTGTTGCCTTTATCACATCTTAGCACATTGATGAGTGAGTGGATTTAGTATTAAGGCGCTTTTATTCCACAAATATCACAGCAGTGGACACCAGAAATGGGCTTCAAACATTGTACCCTTACGGGAATCGAACCCGGGTCTTCCGCGTGATGATCGAACGCTTTAACCACTGGGCTACCCCATAGCCCCCTCAGCACATAATCATTAACTTTAAATGTAGAATACAATTGTAAAGTCTAACATTCAAATTTGACAGTTTATCTTGTATTGGTGACGTAAAAATTAGGGCAACAACTGAGGAGGACAACAAGCAGTCGCAAGATGTTACAGGCTTTTTCCATTCGATACTGCCGATCCCGAAGGAAATTATATCAATACAACTGACTTTGATACAAGAGTAGGACTGATAAGAGTTCCCGGAATTCGTGGTCATATACAGAAGTGTCAACGCGTATACATACATACATACATACATACATACATACATACATACATACATACATACATACATACATACATACATACATACATACATACATACATACATACATACATACATACATACATACATACATACATACATACATACATACATACATACATACATACATACATACATACATACATACATACATACATACATGCATACATACATACAGACATACATACAAACATACAGACAGACAGACATACAGACATACATACAAACATACATACAGACAGACAGACATACATATACTCTCCCAAAAAAGAAACGCATCATGAAAATTGCAATTTCATGTAGCAATGAATTTAAACGTGATTCATTTTACAAAAGGTTTTGCTCTGTTTATGAGTCCTATGGTGTTTATGTTTTGAAACATCACAACAAAAGGCACCATCCGTAAAATGCCCGTACTTAACAGCATGATTTTCAATTTCGGCGTGTAGTGTCACAGAATACACAATTCACATGCAATGCACGTGAAAGTTGGGGATCAGATAGTCTCAATGATGGGTATAAAAGGTTGATCGCTGTCTGTCGATTATTCACTGTATTTGGAATATTGTTGACGAACGCTAAATGCCACGTCTAAGTGAAGCCAACAGTCATATCGCCATTGGTTTGCTTGAAGCTGGCCAGTTTCAACGTGCAGTTGCCCGACGCATGAATGTTCACCAAAGCACCATTTCACGGCTCTGGGAGAGATATCGCCGGCAGAATTCGGTAGCAGATGCCCCTCGTAGTGGGCGACCTCGAGCGACCACTGCGACGCAGGATCGCTATATCCGGGTACATCACCTGCGTCATCGAACAGCTACGGCGACCAGTACCGCTCGACAAATACCCGAATTGAGGAGGCCTGGAACCTACCGAATTGGCGTAGAATCTGGTTCAGTGAAGAATCACGATTTCTACTGGAACGACGCGATCGAAGAATGCGGGTGTACAGACGTCGACGTGAACGTTTCGCCGACGCTTGCGTTCCCCAGGTGGACAGATTCGGTCGGGAAAGTGTTATGATGTGGGGAGCGATCACCTGCCGTAGGAGAAGTGATTTGGTGATGATCCAGGGCAACCTGACAGCTCAATGGTACTGTGACGAAATCCTATGCCCACACCTCCTTCCAATCATTGATCGCCAGAGCGAGTTGTTTCAACGGGACAATGCCAGGCCCCCACACAGCACGTCACACTAGAGACTTCCTCCAAAACCACAACATCAATGTACTCCCCTGGCCCTCAAGATCACGGACTTAAACCTGATAGAACATCTGTGGGATGACCTGGACACACGGGTGCGACGTGACCAGCCACCCTGCTAGTTCAAACAGAACCCATCATAATGTGGAAGTCACAACCATTATAAACCGAGGGGGCGGTGAGGTAGCCTAGTTGTTAAAGACCCGGGTTCGAGTCCCCACATGGGTACAATGTGTGAAGCCCATTTCTGGTGTCCCCCGCCGCGGCGTAAAACGTCAATAGATGATCTGTATACGAGGCGAGTGATATGGTTATCATAATGGTTGTAAACTTATGGTGATACGTGTGTTGGTGAGTCTGCATTTCGACGTATTTTCTTAAGGGTTAAAAAGGGGTTGACACAAGAGAAAGACCGAAGATTTTTGTCGGTGTACTACCAACGAACGAGCCTCGGTGTTACCGCGAAACACAAGAAAATGTCAAATGACAGATGATGAAGGTGACATTTGTTGCAGAGTAACTTTATGGCACTCTGTTTTGACAAAGTATCTTTTAAAGATTATAGCTTTTCTACTACTACATGTCTGTCTGTCTCTCTGTATGTAAGTATGTATTTATGTACACTCTCCCCAAAAAGAAACGCATATAGGAATTTCAACTGTATTTTTATGTTTATTTTGAAACATCTTGTAGGCGTTACGAGTCAATGAAATATAGCGAAATTGCACACTGGGAATGCAGACGTATCCGTCTTTGGCACCAACTCGAGGAAAGTCAGTTTGAGTGTCACATGGAGACGTGTGGTGGCGCTGAAGTCAATACCTCGTGTGACAAGAACTGCACGGCATCGCCTCGGCATCGAACGAATAAGTCTCAGAATCTCGTGTTGTCCAATCGCATCCCACTCTGCCTGTAGTGCCTGTGAAAGTTGCTGAAGTGTCTGGGGCTGAGGGTTACGGCGTCGCACCCGTCTGTCCAGGCCATCCCACAGATATTCGATCGGGTTTAAGTCCGGTGATCTTGAGGGCCAGGGGAGCACATTGATGTTGTGGTTCTGGAGGAAGTCTCTAGTGTGACGTGCTGTGTGGGGCCTGGCATTGTCCCGTTGAAACAACTCGCTCTGGCGATCAATGATTGGAAGGAGGTGTGGGCGTAGGATTTCATCACAGTACCGTTGAGCTGTCAGGTTGCCCTGGATCATCACCAAATCACTTCTCCTACGGCAGGTGATCGCTCCCCACATCATAACACTTTCCCGACCGAATCTGTCCACCTGGGGAACGCAAGCGTCGGCGAAACGTTCACGTCGAAGTCTGTACACCCGCATTCTTCCATCGCGTCGTTCCAATAGAAATCGTGATTCATCACTGAACCAGATTCTACGCCAATTCGGTAGGTTCCAGGCCTCCTCAATCCGGGTATTTGTTGAGCGGTACTGGTCGCCGTAGCTGTTCGATGACGCAGGTGATGTACCCGGATGTAGCGATCCTGCGTCGCAGTGGTCGCTCGAGGTCGCCCACTACGAGGGGCATCTGCTACCGAATTCTGCCGGCGATATCTCTCCCAGAGCCGTGAAATGGTGCTTTGGTGAACATTCATGCGTCGGGCAACTGCACGTTGAGACTGGCCAGCTTCAAGCAAACCAATGGCGATATGACTGTTGGCTTCACTTAGACGTGGCATTTTGCGTTCGTCAACAATATTCCAAATACAGTGAATAATCGACAGACAGCGATCAACCTTTTATACCCATCATTGAGACTATCTGATCCCCAACTTTCACGTGCATTGCATGTGAATTGTGTATTCTGTGACACTACACGCCGAAATTGAAAATCATGCTGTTAAATACGGGCATTTTACGGATGGTGCCTTTTGTTGTGATGTTTCAAAACATACACACCATAGGACTCATAAACAGAGCAAAACCTTTTGTAAAATGAATCACGTTTTAATTCAT